GGGAGGCGGGGATGGGCTGCTCCTTTTCAGTTTGGACTTTAGACTTTACATTGAATGAATGCTGTAGATAGAAGATCAGCCTCAAATGTTGCTGGCACAAGCCCCAAGGGGCGGGAGAGGCCATTGAGTCCTGCGCATCTACGTCCGAGGGACACATGGAATGGGATTTCACACATCGGCATCATAAACGGTGACAGTGTGTTAGCTGGACAATCAATCATGGATGCCCCAGCGCTGTAGCAAAACGACCGCTCCAGGGGGAAAAGCCCCACAAGCAGACAGCTGAGTAGTCGACTAGCTGTGTCTGAAACCCTAACCAAGGCTGGGGGATAACACTTCCTGAAGTGGCGAGAGAGAAGTCAGGACGACACAGGAGGTGGACACAAAGGAGGTGAAGCTGACTCCCAGACCCCTCAGGGCCGGGGGCCAGGGCTCTGCCTGCCCAGGGTTCTGAGTGGATTCACCCGGGAAGCTTTTAAAAACCATCCCAGCTGCCAGGGAGGGTCTCACGCCAAACCTGCACAATGTGACAACTCATGGGCAGGGGGCCAGCAGCTCATATTTTACAAAGTTTGTTGACACCAGAGATTCTTAAATATCTGAAAGCCCAAGCTTTAAGGTCAGAGAGAGTCAGCGATTCGCACAAGGACCCAGGCATTTCTCCGGGCCTCCGAATGTAAAGCAGATTCGCACAAGAGTAAGATCACGTGTGACGGGGACGTGGGTCACCAGCGAGAAACCGGTATGAACGAAAGGTGTGCACGCACTGGGGCACAGGGGTCCGCATGGGGGTCGGCTGGCAGGAGGGGGAAAGGCAGCAGGAACAAGGAGCGTTTCCAACCTTGAAGGATACAATCCATCCATGAGAAACCTCTCCATCAGCCTGTAAGGAGGACACACAGGGTGGTCAGGCACATCCCCCAGGGCGACAGCTGGGAGTCACCTGTGGCTCCCCCCCGCAACACAGTTTCCTTTTAAGCACCAAGCCCAGGAGCTGCCTGCACCCTCCCCCGAGCCCCTGAAGTCCCTGGCACCCTCCGCTGTAAAACTGACCCAGCACCACAGCTGCTCTGCTTGTGGGCAGGGACCCTGCGTACTCCTCTCCGAGCCCCAGAGCAGCTGGTCACCAGGATTAATTGAAGAAATAAAGACCTGTCTTCTGAACCATATGTCTACACCGGAGGTCAAAAGGCATTTAGAGTATAACCAGCATCCAAACGCCACGGAAAAACCAGCAGCCACGCCTTCAGCCCATGTGCCAAGGCCGGGTGGGGAGCGCAGACTTCCACCCTTTCAGGACTGCAACGAGGCACCGCAACAACGTTCCCAGGCTGGGTAGGAGCCAAGTAGGCAGCGGGGCTTCTTTCCCGACAGATGGTGAGGAGGTTCCCGGCTCAGCGTCAGGAGACCACGAGGCCGGACCTCACTTCCGCCAGCAGTTAGTTGGTGGGAGCGGCTGATGTGCTGCCCCCACCGCTGCTGAAGCAGTGTCACGGGAATCAGCTAAAACAGAAGGCTCAAACTGGATCCAGACATTCATAACGTGATATTCAGACTGTCCAACTTTCAACAGAAAATCACTTATCACTCCAAGAACCAGGAAGACCTCAAACTGAATACAAAATGACAGACACCAGCAATGCTGGTACAGATGTTAAAACCATCTGACAAAGCTTTAAAAGCAGCATCATAAAAATGCAGCAATGAGCAATTACAGATGTGCTCGAAATAAATGAAAATATAGACAGTCCAAGCAATGGACTATTTTTCAGCACAGAAATAGAAGATATAAAGAATCCAAAGGGTATTTCAGAAAATTTTAAAAATACAAGAAGCAAAACGAAAAACTCACTGGATGGGCTCATAGCACAATGGAAGGAGCAGAGGAAAAATCAATGAACTTTCTAACAGAACAAAAGAAATTACCAATATAAACACTAGTAAGCAAATGGCCTGGAAAGAATGAACAGAGCCTCAGGGAACTAGGGGACTAGATGATGATATGAATGTCATCAGAGTCCCAGAAGAAGAGGAAAAAGCAGACCAAGCTAAAAAAGCAATAGAAGAAATAATCCTGAAAACTTCCCAAATTTGGCAAAAGACATACACCTATAGGGTGAAGAAGCTGAACAAAAGTCAAGCAGAAGAAACCAAAAAAAAACTACACCAAGACACAGCATCATAAAACTCCTGACGCCTAAAGACAAAGAAAAAACCCTTGAAAGCAATGAGAGAGAAATGACATCGCACCATCCAAATGGCACAGGATTTCTCAGAAGTGGCACAGTTTTCTCAAGTGCTGGAAAGAGAGCTGTCAATGCAGAACCCAGCCGCGTGACACCGTCCCTCATGGGTGGAGGGAAGCCAAGAAGTTCCCACATGAAGGGAATGAAGAAGGAATCCTGGAGCATCAGGAAGGAAGAAGGCACCCCAACAACATTCCTCAGCATAAGGAAAAATATGGGTAAGCACAGAACACTGTTTTCTCCCCTTGAATTTTCAAAATTATTTTTGATCGTTAAAGCCAGTTATAGCACTGTATGATGGAGTTCTCAATGGATGCAGAGAAAAAATTTAAGACAAAGTGACATAAAGGAAAGCAGTTTATACATCAGTCTAACAGGTAGACTGAAAAGTTATGTATATGTAATATAATATCTGGAAGAACCACTATGAAAACCACAGTCTCTTAACAAACAAAACATACTCACTGTATGATAGTCACAAAATGAAAATTTATGTCTATACAAAAACCCATACACGTATGTTCACAGCAGCTGTATGTATAACAGCCAAAACCCAGAAACAACCAAAATGTCACGTAATGGGTGACTGTAAGTTTGGAAAAAACAAACTGCGGCATATCTATCCCATGGACTATTACTTAGCAATGAAAAGGAACAAACTATTAATACACCCTACAGCTGAGATGGATCCTAAAGGTGTTATGCTCAGTGGAAAAGGCTACACACTCTATAACTCCATTTATACAATGTTGTCAAGATGACATAACTGTAGAGACGGAGAATAAATTAGTGGTCGCAGGAGTTAGGGACGGTGGGGAGTGAGGGGGGAGGGTGTGACTGCAGGTGTCTCTGCAGTGATGGAAGCCTGCTGTCTCGATGCCAGTGATTAGTCGTACAAATCTACGACCGTCATAACATGACACAGAGCTGTGCAGCCATTGAGCCAATGCCTCCTGACTTTGACTTGTTCCCTGAGATCAACCCCTGGGGAGGCTGCATGAAAGGCGTACAGGCCCTCTCGGTACTCTCCTTGCAACATTCGGTGAACTTGTTATTTGAAAATGAAAATAAACAGAAAAAACAGACTGGGAGAAGATATGTGCAATGCCAATAACTGACAAAGAATGAATACACAGAAAATATGAACGGGTCTCAGAAAACAGAAACAACTTTGTTGAGTTTTTATCATAAGTGGGTGCTGCATTTTGTCAAATGTGTTTTCTGCATCTACTGGGACAATCAGAGGATTTCTACCCTTCATTTTGTTAATGTGGGGAATCACACTGATTGATTTGTGGACGTTAAGCCATCCTTGCATCCCTGGAATAAATCCCATCTGGTCACGATATATGATCCTTTTAATGGATCATTGAATTTATTTTGCTAATATTTTGTTGAGGATTTCTGCACGTATCTATCTTCATCAGGATATTGGCCTGTATTTTTCTTTTCTTGTGGTGTCCTCCTTGTCTGGTTTAGGTACCAAGGTAATGCTGGCCTCATAAAATGAGTTTGGAAGCGTTCCCTCCTCTTCTATTTTTTTGGACAAGTTTGAGAAGGATTGGCATTAATTCAAGAGCTTGGGACATGAACATGCTGTGTATTTTCTGCTTGTAAATTTCCCCTAGTTAAATCTAGTTTGTACTTAGACCACATGGCCGTAGCAGGGTGTGTGCTTTTGCCTCTTCACACAATGATGGACAGTTATTAAGGGGAAAATGAGACCCAAAGGCCAAGTTAGACAGCTATTGACGAAAAAAGGCAATGCGTCTGAGCCTAACGACTCTCAAGGAGGGAATCAGAAAAGACCATGTGTTGTTATTAAGCAGAAAGAACATCTGGGATCAAGGAAAACTGTCAGAAGAAGAAAGGCAAGGCCTGGGACAGATCAAAGGAACTCCCCATTGGGGAGATGTCTTCTTGAGCTGCAGAGAGAGAAGCCACAGGAAGGGCATGGATTCCTCTCAGAACTGGGCCAGCCCCACCCTGTGGTCCAGAAAGTGTGAAGAAAAAGCATGTGAAGGACTGGCTGAGTCTCCAGTGGCATGGTTACAGGGGGGACTCAGGGAGGGGCTCTCATCCACCACCCAGAACAGGGTCTGACCAGGTAGTGCTCAGCACTGGTTGAGCAGCTGTCCAGTGAAGGGCATCCAGTTAGGACAATCAGATCTCGAGCGGGCCAAGCCACCATAAGGGAGAACACATTCTGACACTAGATCCAGCCAGGAAGGTGGCACATGCAGAAGCAAAGGAAAAGCCCTGCCCGGGAGGCAGTGCCTAGGTCTGAGGATGCTGCTCGCCCCAGAGCCCACGCTCCACAGAGGCCCGTGCAGCCAGAAACAGAGGGCTGAAGAGGCAACAAGGTCAGGAGGCCTGAAGGTAACACACCAGAAAGAGGCACCTCAAAGAGGGCCTGGGGGCTGGGGCTGCCCCAGCGTGCGAGGTGACGGCATTGCTTCAGAGCCACTGTGCAGAGCTGGGGCCGGGCACGGACAGGTGCCGTCCCGATGATGAATACACATTAATTTACCTCTTCATCCTCTTCTCCATGCTGCATTTAGATTCGCAAGTGGGGACAGTGAAAACCGGCACAGAATTCTTGAGCCAGGGTTTTCTCGCCTGCCCACCTTCCCTCCTGGACCCTGTGTTTCCGCCACAGCCTCTGTCTCTGGGACAGCGTTTCGCTCGAGATGCTGTTGGGTGCTGGCAACTGGACTGTGCTGCCCCTGTTGTGGCTGCAGAGGCCAATGCTGTGGGAGCCTCTGACGTCCTCTCAACTGTCCGTACTCTTTTCTTTTCTGTTGTCCTTTTAAGTGAGGCTTATAAAGGACTGGCATTGGACTAGGAGCTCGGTAACAATGAGTGAGCAGGCCAGCCACCCGGGTCTCCCACCAAGCTCGCTCCGCCGGCCTGCCATTCCTGCACTGACTGTGAAGTGGGGTGGAAAGCAGGGGGTTACGTACTGCATAATCTCCGCAAGCCACCACAGCTGCCCTCGCTGTCACTGTCTAGGCTTGCTGCTGACGATGGTCAGAGCACTGAAATACTACAGCTGCAGTGTGTGCATCAGGGTGGGGCAGAGAGGGAACATGAATTCGTGAAGACGGCCTGAAAAGCAGCAAAGCCGCTGGAGGACTATTCACAGCTATGTGAGTCCAAGGACGTGTTCCTAAAAGATGAAGGTGGAAGGCACTGTGGAACTGGGGCTCAGGGAGATAAGATGAAACCTGACACCTGCTTGGGGCAAGCGTACCCTTATCCTGTGAGCCCTCACCATCCCAGGACAGGTGAGAAACAGGCCCACTCCTCCTGGAGACAAGCTGCCAGTGCTGCAGAGCCTCCCCTCAACTCTCCAGGTGTGCAGTTCCACACCTGTGCTGAAGTCAGTCAAAACAATAAGCCGATCTTTCTGCTGATTACACTCAGTCATCATTTCTACCCACTCTTCTCAATCGCAGGGAGTCCCTCCAAGAAAAAGCACCTTCACCCTCTGTCAGTCTGTCCCTGGTTATGCCAGTCACAGCTCTCACACCCACCTCTCCATCAACTCCCCACTGCCTCCTCCTCGTACGCTCTCAGCCCACAGACCATAAACAGGAAGACCAGTTCTCACCTCCTCACCCTGCGCTGCTTCAGTAGTCCCCGTGGTGACCCATCCCACCCCTTCTGCTGGGACTCATGGAAAAAGCTCAACTTCCTCAGTCCCTATGACTTTTCTCCCCTCCACCCCCTCCCACACAGCTGCTGATTCGATGCCCCATCTCCCCAGGATACACCTGGGCTCCAGCAAGAATCCACCCTCACCACTCCCCCAGAAGCCATACTCCTTGGTGCCTCCGGAGGACTTTTCTAATAACCTAGGTCGCCTGTGAGCCTGGTCTTTCTTCTACAATCTCCCCACATACTTGGACTTGCCCACAGCACTGTCCCCCAGGCATATGATCTTCACGTTGTCACCAGCGTCGTATTTCTCTTGGTCCAGCTCACAGGGTTTGGCTCTGTCCTCGGCCATTGGCGCCTAGCTGCAACAAGGGGCTCAGTTCAGGGGAGAGGTCTTGGCACTGTCTGGGAAGATCAAGAAGAGGCTGTTGTTAAAGAGATGAGATTTCCCCTCAACCAAATCTGCTTCTTCCTCTTCCTGTACAGGGAAGACACTAACTGATGAGACAGGGGCCCACGGACACACTTACATCGTTCTCTGTTCACCTTCATTTGGCCTCCACGTGCTGAACCGTGGGGTTATAAACTTGTCCTCACCAAGGTCCTCTTAGGTGCTTTACCCTATGTCATCTCACTACAGCTGTGCTCAGGGCCACACCTCCCATCCTACCCTGAGAAAGAGTATTCTAAAGCCATGTTAAAGCTTCACAAGTTTTGGGCCGGCTGAGTGGCTCAGTTGGATAAGAGTGCGAGCTCTGAGCAACAGGGTTGCCAGTTCGATTCCCACATGGGCCAGTGAGCTGCACCCAAGCTGAGCTGCCAACAGGTGGCAGGATGGCTCAGTGGTTAGAGCGTGCACTCTTAGCCACAAGGTTTCCGGGTCGACTCCCGCATGGGATGGTGGGCTATGCCCACCTGCAACTAAGATGGAACACAGCACCTTGAGCTGAGTGGCCGCGAACTGCTGACAGGTGGCCGGATGGTGGATGGCGACTGGACTTGGAGCTGAGCTGGCTGCGCCCTCTACAACTAAGACTGAAGGACAACTTGGCTGTTCTCCTTCCCCAATTCCCCAATAAAATCTTAAAAAAAAAATTAGCTTCACAAGGTTTACATACAGTTTTCTCACTTGTAAAACAGGGAGAAAAAACTGCCCATGTCACATGATCGATGTGAGATGCTGTCTGAGACCATGCTCTGCAGTGTGAGCTCTCGTCGCTGAATGATGACCATACAGCCAAAGATGCCTGGCCTGTACTCCCGATCCTGTCTCGTCCTCTCACCTCCCCTTCAACTTTCCACCCCACTGCAACCAGTAGCTGCCTCTTCCTCGCTCAACGGGGGCATTCTCTAATCCCAAGTCTCCTGGGTTATTTCACCAGTTTCAAATATGTCCTAAATGCTGATGCCAGACTGTGCCTCCCCTGCGATCACGTCTCTCAGTGCCAGACTCAGATGTGCAGTGGCCTGCAAGATTTGGATAGCGTGTCTATGCCACACAGGCCCAGGCGGCACATGACAACACGGACACGGAAGCCCTGCCCACCTCCTCACTCGCCCCCTCTGCCCAGGACATCGCCGGCACACAGTGCCGACACCTAGGCGCAACGGCACCGGCAGCTGTCCCACCGTCCTCACACCCACGTGCAACGCTGCAAACACGGCTGAGCATGTCCCGCGCTCCAGGCCCGGCTAACGGGGCGCACGGAAACGACGCGTCAGGCAGCGGCGGCGCTCGTTTCTCACAGGCCTTCACCGCGGGCGGAGCTTGCAGGCGCCTCAGGGGGTTTGCGGCACGGCGACGGCAGAGTTTCGCGCGGCCGGAGCCATGGCAGCGGCGTGCACACGGGTCCGGGTGGAAAACAGAGTTTTCCTGGCTGTGGCGCCGCAATGCTCAGGAAGAGGCCCGGCCGCGCTTACCGAGGTCCCCCGGGCCTCAGGCCAGCGCCCGGGAAGCGGCGGGCGATCGAGAAGCACAGGGAGGGCTGTCGCTCCCACCTCCGCCCCGTAGCGAAGCGACCTGTTGAAAAGACCTTCAGTGGGTTGTCGCTGTGCCCACGATCCAGCGGGCAAACTGTCACTCATCGAATATCTTGGGGACACCGAACGCGTCTGGCAACCTCCTCCCCCCCGTGCCCGCCGTCCCGCCCAGGGCGCAGGGACAGCCGGGGAGGGGCGGTCCCGCGGGCTGAGCCCCCCAGCCGGCCGCCCCCGGGCTCCGCTCCGCCCTCGGACCCCGTCCCGTCCCGGGGCCCGCCCAGCCCCGGGCCCCACACGCCAGCCCCGGCTCACACGGCGCCACCCAGCCTTCGACTCGCCCCGCGTCCTCGCAGCTGCTACGCAACCGCACAAGGACCCCGACGAGGGCTGCCCGGCCGAGGGCCTGAAGGACCCGCCGGGGCGCGGGCTGGCCGGGGCGGTGCCGGGCGGGGGCGGGCGGGCTTCGCGCATCGGGCGTGGGGTCTGGGCTGCCGGCGCGGGGCGGGCGGGCGGCCGGGGTCCGGGCTGGGCCGCTGCCCTCGGGAGCGTGTGGGTGGGGCGCCACGCGTGGGAGGCTCAGGAGCTGGCGATTTCTAAAGCGTCGAACGCTGCTGGGTGAACTGAGCGAATGTCTCCACCTGTCGGCCGAGCCGGCGTCGGCAGGAAACCCGCTCTGCACAGGCCGGCGCCGGCCGCGGGCTCAGGCGCGCTCTGACGCGGCAGCAGGTGTGTGCCCGGCTCGCCGTTCGTCCTCGGGACTGCGGCCACACAGCCGCGAGCAAGCCGGGGCTGCCTTCGTGGAGCGGACCTTCGCGGTGTAAACGCAACAGCCGCACTCACCGTCACAAGGCCCCCCGAAGACCGTGCGCAAGGGGCGACCAAGTGCAACCGGACTGGGAAGCCCCGCGGCCGAGGAGGCGCTCGCCAGTGGAAAGGCCAACACAGAGGCCAGCGGGTAAAGAGTTCTTGGAACTGAAAGGCTCATGAGGCTGGAGGAAAAGAAAAACAAGGGGAGAGGGTGTAGGACCTGGCCCCAGGCAGATGAGTGGGCGGCGCACCTGCGTCTTGGGACCCCGTGCCCGAGAGCTGGCCTGCCAGATGTCACCCGCAGAACGCCCTTCGTGTTGCTGTACCTCGATAACTCTCCCCTGGTCAGCAAGTCTCAATAAACCTATACCCGAAACTCAGCAAGCTGGTGTGTTCTCTGGGCTTGGCTTCTCTGGCACAAATCTTGGAACAATTCAGCCTCAGTCCAAACAGAGGGGTTCCAGGTGACTCTGGAAAGACACAAGAGCCAAAGCATACAAGACCTCGCAAGCCATGACTGGGTGGGACAGCGTGTGTGTGTGTGTGTGTGTGTGTGTGTGTGTGTGTGTGTGTGTGTTTTCTACCATGAGAGCAAAGGGCTCCTTGAAGGGTTTAGATGGGGGTCTATGACTAGATTTGCATTTGTAGGTCCTGTGAGGGGCTAGGGTCAGGATCAGGGTCAGGGTTTTAGGGTTCGGGTTTTAGGGTTCGGGTTAGGGTTTAGGGTTTAATGTTTAGGGTTATGGTGAGGGCTAGGGACAGGGTCAGGGACAGGGTCCAGGGTTAGGGGTTCGGGGTTAGGGGTTTGAAGATTGAGTTTGGGTTTGGATTCGGGTTTTAGGGTTAGGGTTTTAGCTTTAGGGTTAGGGTTCGGGTTCCGGTTTAGGGTTTCGGGTTGGGGGTGAGGGTGATGGTGAGGATGGGTTAGGGTTAGGGTTTAGAATCAGGGTCAGGGTCAGGGTTGAGGGGTCAGGGTCGGTGGTCAGGGTCCGGGTGGGGGTTGGGGTCGGTGTTGGGAGGGGTCTGGGTCGGGGGGTGTTGGGTTCGGGTGTCGGGTTTTGGAGGGTAGGGTTAGGGGCAGTGGTAGGGATTGGGTTAGGGTTAGGGATAGGGTTTTACGGTTAGGGTTTTAGGGTTTTATGGTTAGGGTTATTGGTTTAGGGTTAGGGTTAGGGTGTTAGGGTCAGGGTTAGGGTCGGGTTAAGGGTTAGGGTTAAGCATTGGGGTCAACTAATTGAATACTGCAGGTATGGATAGACTTGAGTCTTAGACTCAAGACTAAGGATATCTATATCTCAAACTGTTAGACAAAGAGCCTGAAACCCTCCTCTGGAAACCTAAAGAAAGAGAATTAATACAAGTCCTCAAACAGGCCTGTATTCCTGCCCCTGTACTAGCATTACCTTCATTAGAAAAGCCCTGTTACCTTTTTGTCAGTATCGATAAAAGTACTGTTCTTGGAGTCCTAACTGAAGAACATGGAGGTAAAAGACAGCCAGTAGCATATCTATCCAAGCCCCTTGATCCAGTAACAAGGGGCTGGCCAGAATGCATCCAATCCGTAGTGGCCACTGCCATGTTAGCTGAAGAAAGCAGGAAAATAACCTTTGGAGGACAATTAGTTATTAGCACCCCACACCAGGTCAGTGCAATTTTTCATCAAAAAGTAGGCAGATGGTTGACGGATTCTAAGATTCTCAAATATGAAGTCATCTTGTTAAAAAGAGATGATCTAATCCTGACCACAGACAATTGTCTGAATCCAGCCACCTTTCTAACTGGAAGTAAACAATCGGACCCGATCGAACATCGTTGCATGGACCTCATAGACTATCAGACAAAGGTTAGGCCAGACCTTAGGCAAAATTCTCTTCTGACTGGGTTAAAACTATATATAAATTTTTTAAAGATTTTTTTATTGGGCAATTGGGGGGATGGGAACAGCACTGGAGAATTTGGGGAAGGGGAACAGACAAGTTGCTGTCGTTTTGCTCCTCAGTCTAGTTGTGGAGGACATTGCTTCACTAGCCCATGTTGGTATTATCATTGCGCTCTTCCCGGATGAGGCTGATCAGTCGCCGGCCTCTGGACGGCTGCTCACGGCAGCTCTTGACAGCTCACACCGGCCTGCCAGCCACTCACAGTAGCTTATGGTAGCCCACTGCAGCAGGGGCTGCAGCCTATGCCACCGTCGCCGGCGACTCACGGCAGCCCAGCTCAAGGTTGAGCTGTTGTTCACCATCTTAGCTGTAGAGGGCAGTGTCACTGGCCCTCATGTGTGATCCGAACCGGGGCCCTGATGCTCAAGAGCTGGCGTCCCAAGCCAGCTCTTAACCAACATGCCACTTGACTGACCCTAGAGTTTGGAATTTTTAAGTAATTTACCCAAATTCACATAGCTAGTCATGGTGGAGCTTCAGTTATAAAATAACTAGCAAGTGTGTGGCTGATCTCAATACTATAATGCCTGGCACATGGCAGAGCATCTTATAAAATTAGCTATTCTAATAGAAAAAGTAAATACGCCCTACCATTGTTATTCTCTCCAGAGACAAAATCACTCAGACCTCCCTCAAATACTGTCCTCTGTCTCCCTCTGTCATTGTGTGGATAATGCAATGACTTAAAATGACACAGCTAGTAAGTCAAAATTAGAATTTCAAGGGAAGAAAGTAATTATGTTAAAGTCATGTGACATGCAAGTCACATGCACCATCTCATTTAAATTTCACAGTAAATCTGTTCATATGTATTAACTTCTTCCACTCCATGAGCTCAAAAGTGACCTGTCCCAGATTGCACAAAAAGAAAGAGGAGGTAGTGTTCAAAGCCAGATCACTTTGGCTCCAGAATCCAGAGGATGCACTATTTTCTGCAACTCCTTGCTGCCTTCACATCTGGCTAAGGGTCTTGGTGGTTTCCTAGGAGGAATGTAAAACCCCAGCCTCAGTCTCCACAGCTATAAGCGCAGGGGAATCAAAGTATCTTCTTAACACTCATCCATTCATTAAACACACACTGATGAAGTCTGTGGCATTGGCCTTCCTGTTACAGGGCAAGGAGTGAAAACAATTGATTGAGTTCACTTTGTTCTTAGCTAAGTTGCAAAGTATGTTGCTAGTGTCTCAGCAGCTGTACAGGAATCAGGTAAAAACAGTTAAAGGAATGGTGTTTATAAGTAGTTATTGGTTGAGATTGGCAAGTTACTCCAAGAGTGAGATGAAGTTCAGAGATGGATGGCAAGGGAAGAGAGATCCCACAGATTTGAGGCTTGAAAAGCCACAGTTTAAAAAGCCAACTGCTTTTGGCTCCATCCTTTAGGAATTACATTTTAGATATTTTTAGTGAGAAAGTTCCCTTGTCACACAGCCCTATGGAAAAGGATTAGATTTAGGGTGTATCACCTTACAAATGAAGTCTACCCTGAGTGCCTGTTATGCATTGAATTGTGTCCTCCCTCAGATTCATGCTTTGAACGTATATCTCCAGAACCAGAATGTGGCCTTTTTTGGAGAAAGGGTCTTTACAGAGGTAATCAAGTTAAAATGAAGTCGTTAGAGATATCACCAATCCAATTTCGCTGTTGTCCTTATTTTTTTAAAAAGGGGAAATTTGGACACACACACACACATGGAGTAAAGAGGATGTGAAAACACAGAGAGAAGACAGGTCTGCAAGTCAAGGAGACAGGCCTATATCACATCCTTTGCTCACAGCCTCAGAAGGAACCAATGCTCCCAACACCTTGATTTTGGGCATGTAGCCTCCAGAAGCGTGAGACAATGAATTTGTTTTTTAAGCCCACACTCTGTGGTAGTTGTTACAGCCAGCCTAGGAAAGTAAGACATTGCTCTATGTAAAGTTGCAGCCACCCTGGCTCCACTGGCAATCCCCTTTACCTTGTTATTTTCTTTTTTCTGTAATACCTGTTACCTTAAAAAAAATCAGTATCTATATCATGCATTATGTGTTCCCCTGCCTCAATGAATTCGTCACAAGGAATCTTAGCTACTGATGTATCTTATGTGCCTAATAATTGTGGCTGGTTCATACTTGGTGTTCAATACACATTTCTCAAGTGTTGAATTAATTGATGAAGAAATCAACATTCATCCAGTGAATCTGGAAAGGGGAGGTGTCATAAATTTATCACCAGCCAATAAGTCAACACATAGTGATCTTTTAGCAAAGAGGAAGGGGAGAGGGTAGTTACTGGGTAATGAAGACCCAGTGCTGGGCTCATGGAGATACAGCCTAACAGATAAACCATAATATATATATATAAAGGGCGGTACATGTGGAGGTGGGTGATCAAAGTATGAAATGCCCATGCAAGATCAAGGGAGTGAGAATAACCGAGACCCTTGTGAAGAGCAGCAACAAGGGGTTTGACCAGCTGCTTGTCAGGCTCCCAGTGATGCTGTGAGAACCAGACAGTGACGTCTCGGCGTCGTGTCATTGCCAGGACCTGGAAACAATAGGCCACAGTCCAGATCGGGATGCTGGCCACCCTGTTTCCCGTAATATTTTATTATGAAACATGTTACACATACAGAAAGGTTGAAATACTTTTACAGTTATCACTGTAATCCCAAA